TTGAAATCAAGTATGGACGTAAGCCATTTAAAAAAAATGTGAAGCATTTGAGAGTTCTCTGTAGCGGACAAGCACCCGTTACGGTACAGAACCAAATGGGAAAATCATACAAGTAAGACAGGCTCAAAACTCTGCTGGGGACATTTGGGGGAAAACCCCCAACCTCGGTATTTACTGGTAGAGGGGCCAAGGGTGAGTCCCACACACTCTCTTTATGCGACGGTGCATGTGAAATCTGAAAATGCACTGTCATCTGCGCCTATGTACATCCATTTATGGCTTTATTTTGTTTCCAACAAAGCAGTCTTCATTTCAGACATGTGTTGGGGTGAAACCTGGGTTAAGTTATGATATCGATAAGGAACGTCAGCCGTGCGTTGTTCGCATTCGATGATAATCACTTTAGAACCTGGGATTTCCATTTAGAGAGTTACTTTAATTTAATGAAAAATGGCATCAGCCGTCATTTTTGTGAGATATTAGGAAGCATGCACCTCCCGTGGGTCCCGATGACACTGGGATCCATGGCTCCGGGTCGTTGTTAAGGAGGCGACCTCAGCTCAGTGTTGGTACAAATTTTCAGTTAATACTCCTTACTCTGAGGAACTCCGGTCAATACCCCTATGGTACTATTGCTTAGATGAATGAGTATCTTCGTGTGTGTGTGTGTGTGTGTGTGTGTGTGTGTTTTTAAGTAAAAAAAAAAAAAATTTTATAGGTCAGGAGATACTGAATAAATGGCCAGCAAATTCGTATTTTCTTAGTGGGACCAAAAGTTGCAAGGCGGAGTTTTTGCTTCTACAAAGAAAGACCAAAAAAATCAGCGTGTGTTTTCTTTTAGCACAAAACGCTATTTCCTTCCACCTCCAGGACATCTGTGAGGACAGCTAGGCCCTGGCCCAGGGGACGAGGTGGTCAGGGCTGCGGAGTCATTACCGCTTTATGACTCATTTGTCTCTTTCCGATTCTGGAAAAATCCTTCTCTGATCCCGGATCTCCGGCCGCTTGTAGTCATCGTCTTCCTATTGTGTTGCGTTTTTCTTATTGATTCGTGAGGTTCTCTCGTTCTATTATAAATACGTCGTTTGTTGAATATATGTTTATTTTCATTGAGGTCCTTTTCATTCTCCTTGTATGACTGTGTGCGTTCTGTTTAAGAGAGCTTTGCTTACCGCAGACATAATGTTTTTATGTTGTTTACATTTGAAAGTGTTATCGTTTCGCATTTTACATTTAGGTCTGCAATTCATCTGGACGTGATGTTTGTGGATATTGTGAAATAGAGATCGAGACTTATTTTTCCCGTTTGGACATCTGATTGGCCCAGCGCCGTCTATTAAAAAGACCATTCTTTCTCCAATGTGGCCTTTGTCATCAATCTCGTGTCTACGTCTCTGTGGCTTTGTTTGGAGGCTTTTTGTTCCATTCCATTGGCTATCTATCTAAGTTTGCACCAAGTAAACACCATCTGAACTACTATAGCTTTGTAATCAGATGACATATTAAGAAGCATAAGGTCTCTAGTTCTGTTCTTCTTCAAGGTTGTCTTAGATATTTTTGGCCCAGACCATCTATATTGGAATCTAGCTCAGAAATAGATATTGGTATAACTTCTCGGTTGAGTGCGATGTACAGCCAGGCTTGCATGTCACTCAGCCAACAGCTTTCGAGCAGTTCCCCGAGTTCCATACGGGGCCTGTGGAAAAGTCTCTCTGCTGATCTAATGCTACTTGGTCTGCAAAACGCACCGTACTAACTGGTATGCAGACACCGCCCAAATGTCGGTCCTTGGAGAACATCTTAATATTGCCGATCTGGTTCATCATGCTGCATCTGGAACAGTAATTACTTTCTGGCCGACACTTTTTCTGTTGAGTTTATTTTTTTCCCTCCGATTTATAATCACATCTTCACTTTCTGATTTATGGTGAAGCGAGAATTTGCTGAAAAATACAGGAAAGCTATTTTTTTTAAAGTCCTTTCAAAACCCTACAGCTTTAATGCTTACTTGTTACAGTGTTATTGTTAGATTTAAATTTAGTGGAAAATGGGCTTCTTATTAGTTCTTTGGTTTTAAACTCATAAATCCCTCTCATTAAATCTTTTTTTATTAAGATTTAGCAAACACCCACAAGCATTTGATAAATTGCTGTGAAGGATTTGAGCTCACCGAGAGCTACTACTGTGAAATATTTTTGTGTAAAATGTCCTTGGAAATTATTTTCTGTTTGCAGTTCAAAAAAAAAAAAAAAGCTGGGATCATACTTACATGACACGCAACACCCTGAGTGTGCCCAAATCACTCCAGAACTTTCTACATATCCTTACCGACAAAGCACGTAAAGTCACTTGGACCTGTTGGTAGGAAATGACCAGATTAAGAAGAAACAAAACACTGTGGGCAGTTTTCAGGGGCCGCTTAGGAGCCAACCTCAGACGAATTAAGTGTTGGAAAGATTCGGTAGAAGTCACGTGTCCCCTCACGTGACAGCACTATTACAGTTAAAATGGCTGAAGTGCATTTACCAGGGCAGCTCAGGTCGCCTACCTGTCCTGATCTTTGCCTCCACTGTTGTCCCTCAGTCTGGTCGCCTGGCACAGCCGTGACAGGCACTCCGTGAGGGGCGGATCAGAGCACATCTAAAGCGGGGACATTAGCACGTCCCCGAGGCTTACTTTCCAGAAGCAGTACCTGGGAACAGGTGGCGGGAGAAGCAGGTAGGCGGGAACCTCGGAGCCGAGGCGGTGGACTGAGGTTGAGGAGAGTGGACGGGAGGCTGGGAGCGGGCTGTGGACTCGGCCTCGTGGGGGAGCACAGTTGGGGGTCTGGGGCATGCCTGCCACCAAGCTCTTGGGGTGGCCCTGCTGCGGAAGGTCCTTGTTGGTCCCCAGGGCTACAGGGTACTGAACGGATCCTGGCCCGTGGAACTGCTCCTCAAATCTGACACTCGCCAGAGAAGCCTAGGGGGACAGTCAATGCCACAAAATCCTGAGGGGCTTGGGCCAGCCACTGGGGACACCCCACGAGCTCGCCCCACATGCCCGACCTGCCTGATGGGTAAGGTGGTCGGTGCTGCTCCACTGCCCCCTCTTTGCTCCAGTCTCTTGATTCCAGTGTGGGGTGACGGAGGGTCCCCCGCACCAGTGTGGGGTGGTGGAGGGTCCCCTGCACACAGTTCCAGTGTGGGGTGGTGGAGGGTCCCCTGCACACAGTTTCTGTGTGGGGTGGTGGAGGGTCCCCTGCACACAGTTCCAGTGTGGGGTGGTGGAGGGTCCCCTGCACACAGTTTCTGTGTGGGGTGGTGGAGGGTCCCCTGCACACAGTTCCAGTGTGGGGTGGTGGAGGGTCCCCTGCACACAGTTTCTGTGTGGGGTGGTGGAGGGTCCCCTGTACCAACCAGCAAGCGATGCCCCCGAGGCCAGCTAGCAACCTGCCAGTCACTCCCTCTCTGATGCTGTTTACCTGGGGACAGTGTCCGATGCCACAGGGGAGGGGCTCAGTCCCATGAGACTACGCTCCACTGTCACATGGCAATCACAAGGCCAGGTAGTGACCTGCGCTCCTGACCGACAGGCTGTACACCAGAGGCTCCTACGAGCCTGCCTTGGGTCCCCTCCATCTCTCAGGGCGGCTCCTGGGCCTCGGGCAGCCACTCGGTCCCTAGGCCGCAGGTTTGTTACAGGGGATGTGGAGGGCCTGCTGTCACAGCCCGGCAGAGAGACGCGTGGGCAGGGCGCGGGGACAGGGCGGCCCTCGCCACGCCACCCCAGAAGCTCCAAACCCATTAGGGAGGCATTTTCAGTGGGCATGAGCGACCCCAGCACTGGCCCATGGGGACTGACCCCGCCTCCAGCCCCTCCCCGGGTTCAGGACCCAAAGTTCCAACCGTGTGGGAGGGTCACCTCTGCTGAGAACGAGCCCCAGCCAAAGTCACCTCATCAACATAACAAAAGACTTTGTCGCTCTCTTGAAAAAATTATTGATTGATCGATTGATTTAAATTTTTTTTTTTTTTTACGAAGACATTGGTTAATGAAATCCAGTAAGTTTCAGGTGTACGATTGTTGCTCTTGTTACTTAGGGCATTCCGAGGATTTTAGGAGCTCTGTGCCAAAGAGGATGAAGACTCAATGTAAATTTCTTAACTATACATCACAATGTCACGTGTGTCGTCTCGAACACTTAAGAGCAATTGTAATTCTACCCGTCTAAGGGAAGTTAAGCTAAGAGTGCTGAGCGAAACGTGGGGTGTCTTGCAAACCTGCTTCAGGTCGCGTGTCCACCCCAACTCAGCCTGTCCGTTATGGGGCCAGCGTTCGGGTGCGCTTCTCCCTGCTCCCCCCACAGAAAGTCCCATGCGTGTAAACAAAACATTCAGTTGATCGAGGGCTGGCCCCTAATTTTCCTGGGCTGCTCCTTAATTTCTGGAGAATTTAGTATCTCTTGTCATGCGCCTTTTATTTTAAACTGAATGAGATTCCTGTCGTCTTGTTTAATTCTTGGGCTTCATGGGACTTTAGCCAGCGTAGATACAGATCGATCGTTTTTTGTTTTTTGTTTTTTTTCCCAATAGTTCGACTACTGAGTGTATTAACTATACATAATCGGTTCACCCTACTTTTTCCCCAGCAAGGCAGTTATGGGCAGAGTGTTCCAACATGATACTACGTAGATAATCTACACCACATTTGTCTCACAAATACAGCAGTCTGATACCGATGAAGCTGTACCTGAAAAGACAGGAAAATGTCCCCAAATATCTAATACGAGTTTCCAAATGTTGTATACATTCCTACTCTCTCTCTCTCTCTCTCTCTCTCTCTTTCTCTCTCTCTCTCTCTGGACAACACTGTTGTAATTTATCATTTAATATCGGTGCCTGAAGGATCACAAAACAACTCATCGTAAAAACTGGCCAGTACGGTTGGGAATGTGAAGAAATCGCGGTTTACAGGGAGCCACGTACTAATGTGCTGTTTCCGTGTGTTTGCTTTTCCAGGTCAGAACTGCGGAGGCTTAGTCCAGGGTCCCAACGGCACCATTGAGAGCCCGGGGTTCCCGCACGGTTATCCCAACTACGCCAACTGCACGTGGATCATCGTCACGGGAGAACGCAATCGGATCCAGCTGTCCTTCCACACCTTCGCCCTCGAAGAAGATTTCGACATTCTCTCGGTGTACGACGGACAGCTGCAGCAGGGCAATCTGAAAGTGAGGTAAAGTATGGGCTGTACCTATTTTAGGTTAAGTAGCTCTGTTGGGCTTAACGCAGATTCTGAAACTCGTTTGGAATATTCTAATTTGACTATAAGAAAAGAACATTTTAGTTACTGTGAAGGAAAAGTAAGGGTTGTAGATTTCTACACAGTTTTTTTCCACACTTGAAAACGTAACTTCTTTTTGAAAACGATCATTGACTTCGTTTATAGACATCAAATTGTTCAATATCTGTAAACAGCGTTGTCAAGGTGATTAATGTAATGTTACAGTACACCTTTGTTTTTAAGCAACTATGAATTTGAGAGAAAAAGCACAAAAATAATGCATGAGTACGACTCAGAGAACAACAGAAGGAACCTTTATATTGTCAGGAAAAACATTCCATGGAAAGAACATAGGAGGTGGGCGGGGTCAAACATGAAAGAATATTGCACTCTGTGGAGAATTTTTTTGGTTTACACAATCATAATATATTTTATTCCCAGTTAGTTTGATCTGTGGAGAAAGAAAAATATTTTCTGGATGATTTTAAGTTACATTTTTCATTTATCAATGTGAAAAAACTGCGCTCGAAGAACTATATGTTTTTTTTTTTTAATTTGGCAAAGCAAAGAGGTATATTACTTTCAAAGAAATTGGAATTTCTTAGCTAAACTGATGAACGTATGTAAATATATACATAATATGGCAAATAAGGCTTTTCCCTCTGGCTTTAAAATTCTGCATTAATTAGAGATTAAATTTGATGAATATATAGAGTCTTATAGAAATTTTGACAGTAGGTAGAAAAAATCGTTCTGCTTAGATAAATAAAATGGTGTAGATGCTAATGTTAGCACATAATACACACAAATCATGTACTTTATTCATGATTTTGTGGATTGAGAAAAATAACTACAGAAATACATAATTATATTTGTACATCTCGTTAACATATAAATATGTATTAACTATATAGTTAATATGTTAAATGTATGATAATATATTTTAAATATATTGTATTTGCATTTTCTTTATGCATTTTCAAATGCGAAACACCTTCTAGTTTTTTTTCTGGGTCATTGATAATATCTGTTGTCTGGTTTTAGAGACAATTTTCCATTGCACATTCTGTCTTACATTGCAACGCTTCATCCTTTATGAATTAGGCAGACTCCCCTTCCCCTGGTCTACCGTGAGCGATCTCATGTTTGGATGTTCGGACACGGTGCCTGCATCTACGACACTTGCTAATTTGACGCAAGACTTTTTATCCTCTTTTCTGCTCTTCTAAATATGAGTTCTTTATTAGTTTTATTCCAAATCAATGATCCATATCAATATAAGATAGTGATATGTTGTAACATAGGAAGAATTGTAGTAGAAATCGCTAAGGGTTACAACAACAAAAAAATGGAGAATCCAGTTTATTCAGATATCAAGGCATATGATTCCATGATATAAGTAATTCCGTATCTTTCCAATTAAAAACAATGCCTAGTATATACGTACTGTTAAAAAATACTTCCCTGTCGATATCGTCATTTTCTATAATTCGATCCTATTCTAAAGAAAATCTGTCTTAAATAGTGATTTGATTAACTGTCTTTAAACAGTTGACTATCCTCTCATATTCTTACGGTGATATTATGATCACTTTATGTGTTAATAACTATAAAGTTTAGAAAACAGTATTCCTGCCATTTTCAGTGTTATAACAGGATTAGCACTGGAAATATTGAGGTTTTAGAGCATTAGACTCATTGTCTTTTATTTGATTCCAGTAACTAGTGTATAAATTGATATCTGTGCCTCAGAGAGCTTTATAAATATTGGTGAGTTATATGTATGGCATCGTGATTCTTTTACTCACTTAGACGTTTTTACTAGAAAAAGCAAGAAAGACTGATGAGGAGACCACTTGGGTTCATATAAATTACTCAGTTACCTATAATTTTTTCCTTTGAGACAGAGGATGAACACCTCATATTTCTGCTTGTTTGTTGTCCTTAAGGTAAGGAAGATACTCTCATGTCTATAAAATTATACGATTCTCCCATCCTATCTCCACACTGAGAGGGGCTCTTTGAATGGACGTTCCATGAGGGGGTGGTAACCATTGTGGACACAGAAGTTGCTGTTCTAGGTAGCATGACACGAAGAGGTGAAGCATATCCGAATTCCCCTAAGGTCCGCTAAATGCTATGGGTCATTACTCATAAACGTTTGACTAAATAATGATGCGAAATAGGAATATTACTGTCGTCATAGCAAACACGTGAGAAGGTTGCAACATTTCAACATTAGTTGATGGGCAAAGTAGTTATAAATATTATCCAATTCTAATTAATGGGAGACTTTACTGTTATTTGTTTCCCCTTCTATCTTGGAATAGTTGTTTACTTCTTGAACACGATTAACTCACGCCACTTAAAGCAACTGGACTTCCAACCAAGGATGCTTTTGTGGGAGGGCTGATGTGTGAGCTGCTGATCCGCTGAGCTGTCATAAAAATTATTACACAGACTGCCTGTCTGTCATCTCACCGCTGCTCTAAGCTGTTTTTAGCAGCTCGCAATGTGCACTAACAAAAAAAGGAGTTGTTTTGTGAATCAGCTTGAGCATTTTATTATAAAGAAATCTCTTTTGTTTAACCACGATGGAGAAGTTTTTTTCTAAATAGCATAAGATTTATTCATATTTAATCCCCAGCTAACAAAATGTAGAATTCAGAGAAGTATTGATGTGTACATTGTAACTTAATCTCTACTGAATAATATATATTTTTTTATCCTATTTGAAAAACATCTTTCAAGGAAAAAAATAATGTACAATTTATGTTATCATCTTGGGCTAATTATATAAAAACACACACAAATGCACGTGATTTGTGCATCGATCAGTAAATTAAATTGTAACATGTAGACTTTGAGAGGTTAGTGAAGACTTCTCTTAACTGAAGGAAAAAAGATGTGACTCGAAATTTGAAATAGAAATCTGTTCTTCGAATTACTTAGAATTAAAACCACTGACTTCTATGAGCTGCCAGATTATTGCTGTTTTTTGAATCCCTGGCCGTTGGTTGACCGTGCACCTTTTCTCAAGTCTCCACAGAGGTCCGACCGAGAAGGCACAAAATCCTAAACTTTTTAACTTGCCAAGACAGTGACTATTGTCCAGCCAATGATCTCTAGTGTTTATTGGTCTCAAACACAGAAAATGGTTGAAGTTGATATCAGTTTCCAGCTGTGATAACATTATCATATCAAACCTCAAAACCTGAGTAAAAGCGAACTAGGAAGGAAAATTGTACCATGCAAAGGTGGAAAATCAGTATGTATTATTCCGTGATTACTGCAGACTACAAGGCCTAGGAAAATAGCTTTGGCAGTTATTTCAACCGTCTCCCTCTGTAACTTTCACAAGATTACCCCTAATTTTCTGCAATGATGGTAATGAAGAGGTTAGAGATGAATGTGATAGGGCCATTAACATTGGGAAGTCATGAGTAAGTATTGCTAAAATGTCATCATTTCTTCCAATTATTTTTTTCTAAACCACAATAATGTTTGAATGCATTAAAATTAACTAATAAATCTATATGATATTAACTACATCTGGTAATGTTTGAAACTTGAGAATTTGAAGGGCTGGGAGGGGATTTCGGTCGCATTCAGATTATATTAGAGTAGAGAACCAGCAGTGGCTAAATTCGGCCCCATTGCCAGTGTGGGGTCCCGAGGGAACTGTTCACAGATCAATAGCCAGATAGAAATCTAAGCATCATTTTATTTTTAGCTTGTCTGGTGACTAATGCCCCAATTAGGACTCTGCCAAATACAGGCAAAAGTGTGTGAAAAGCTTCTATAGGGACTGGAACCTCATTCTGGCCATCGATATGTGTCTTGATCTTGTCACGTTTGACCAGCCAGAGAGTCAGGAACTGGAAGGAACGACCGGCATGACCAGACCACAGCTGGCGAACGGGGCCCCAGAGAGGCGAGCTTGTGGCCTGAGTGCGGAGTCAGTGGGACGGCTCACTGCGCAGGGTACGAGTCAGGGTGTCAGAGCTCGAGAGCCCAGCCAGTGCTCAGGCTTCTGACCACACAGGTTCTCACACCTTAGCGGAGACACGCGGCAGAACACTGAGGGGGACGTGGCCGTGCGTGATCCTCATGCAAGCCCGTCATGTTCCCATCATTCCGTGCATTTGTCAGCCATGTTCGCCATTCTACTATATATTTTAAGATGCTAAAACTAAAAAAAATAATAATAATTTTATCTGATGCATCATTCAAATATCCTTTATATATGTATGTATGTATGTATGTATGTATGTATTTTATTTATCCAGCAACTCACAGGTGAGGTCAGTAGTTATTGGGTAACATTGAGTTACCCAATAACATTGGCTAGATAGTACCCAATAACATTGGCTCTCTATGGTTGGCTAGATAGAGGAGCAGGCCAATTAAATGAGAGAGTTGAGAATGGCATTGGGGCCTAAATGCTGATATATATATATGTATACACACACACACACACGCAGATAGATAAATAGATAAATAGGTAGATAGATGATAGAGAGACAGATGATAGAGTCTCCCTAGCTGGTTTTAACATTCAGCTTTGATTGAGAACAACTATATATATATGCTTTTTCATCAAACTCATGTTTATTAATAAAAATTATTAAATTGCTAGTAATTAGAAGCTCCGAAGATAAAATAACGAAGCGCTTACAGGAGACGGGCAGGACGATGTTTGAACTGCTACAAGCCGCTCGTAACGTGTCTTCGAATTCTGACCACCGCCTCTTTGTGCTGTGGTGGTGGTTTCTGTGGCAGCCAAACGGTGAGAGTTCATTTCGATGTCTTGGCTGTTTTTTGACCCATTTCCCGTTTGCCCTGAGAATCCCCGCCAGTGATGCTGTGGCCACAGCATTTACCCCGCAGCCTAACTCGCAGGCTCCGGTCCTAACCTCACCCCCAAAGTTGGCCATGAAATATCTCGCTTT